TGTTGGCCAGGCTAGTCTCAAACTCCTGACCTCAGGTGATCCGCCCATCTAGGCCTCCCAAAGTGCTGGTATTACAGGCTCCAGCCACCACACCCAGGCTACCTTTTTTAAGATTGAATTTTAAGAGTTTTTGGAGAAGACAACATGATTCAGGGCAGAATATGAAATACGATGACAATATGGAGACCATTATGGGCCAGGACTTGGGAAGGAAAGAACCAAATGGTGGTTGGAATAATGACCTCAGGAATAGGGATTTCTGGGCACTAACATGTTATGTGAGCAATAAATAGACCTTTGTGGCCAAAAGCTAAGATCTGAGGGTTGTTTGTTAAGCAGCAGGGCTTCAGCAAAAGCTAACTGATACACATTATATACATACAATAAGTGCAGATTGTGATAAACTTTTCATGCCATGATAGGAGTTGTGAACAATGGGGAATCAACAGAGAAGTAAGGAAAATCCCATAACATGTTAGTCTCTATGGGTCAACTGGGATTTAAAGACCTAGTACTTGTACTCTTGAGAACTGGGCAAATTCATTCATGTTCATGGCTTTAAATGCTACTTCTGTAGCATTCGTATTATCTCCAATCCGCATGTTTAGATGGGCATCTTTTTTTTGAATGTCTCAAAGGTGCTGCAAACTTAATAAGTCCAAGCTAAAATTATCCTATGGTGGCTGTATAATGATAGTGCCACTAGCTGAGAGAGTAAAGGAGAATGAATGTTTGGGGACAATAATGAGTTTAGTTCCATGCCAAATGGTTCAGAGCATTCCAGGAAGATAAGGATTGCCCTGGGCAGTTAAGAGATTACTGAAACATACTGAGAGCTGAGAGCGGTTTTTGTGGAGTAGAAGGTATGCAAGCTAGATTGCTGATAGGTGAGGAGGATATAATGAAAGCAATGAGGATGGTCAACTCTTTCTCTTTTTTTATTTGAGATGGAGTTTTGCTCTTGTTGCCCAGGCTGGAGTGCAGTGGTGTGATCTCAGCTCACTGCAATCTCCACCTCCCAGGTTCAAGAGATTCTCCTGCCTCAGGTTCCCGAGTAGTTGGGATTACAGGCATGTGCCACCATACCTGGCAAATTTTTTGTATTTTTAATAGAGATGGGGTTTCACCATGTTGTCCAGGCTGGTCTCGAACTCCTGACCTCAGGTGAATCTACCTGCCTTAGCCTCCCAAAATGCTTGGATTATAGGCATGAACCACCACAGCCAGACCAGCCAGTATAGTCAACTTTTTCAAGAAGTTTATTTTTATTTATTTACTTATTTATTTTTGAGACGGAGTCTCACTCTGTCACCCAGGCTGGAGTGCAGTGGCTCCATCTCGGCTCACTGCAGTCTCCACCTTCCAAGTTCAAGCGATTCTCCTGCCTAGCCTCCCGAGTAGCTGGGATTATAGGCACATGACACTACGCCCAGCTTCTTTCAAGAAGTCTATTTGAGGTCAGGAGAGGTCAGGCTTGGTGGCTCACACCTGTAAACCCAGCACTTGGAGAGGCCAAGGTGGGCGAATCACCTGAGGTCGGGAGTTTGAGACCAGGTTGGCCAAGAAAGTAAAACTCCATCTCTACTAAAAATACAAAAGTTAGCTGGGCATAGTGGCGGGTACCTGTAATCCCAGCTGGTTGGGAGGCCGAGGCACGACAATCGCTTGAACCTGGGAGGTGGAAGTTGCAGTAAGCTGAGATG